ACACACACACACACACACACACACTGTAGCCTCATCTATAAGTTATGTGAATACTGACGATGGGGGACATTACCGATAAACTGCATCAGACAATTACCCTATTATTTCAGTTAACGTAGAGCGGGGATTAAGGTCTTGCTAGGCTCGGGACAAACTGATCCAAATGAGCTCATAGTAATGTCTGTTTATGTTCATTACGTGTATGACTCTGAGTATGAAAACACAGGCTAGTATCTTTTAACAATGATAAAGCATATAATTATATTCAATATCAAGTAAATATATATATATATATATTTCATGTAAATCCACAATGAAAACGTGGATAAGATATCTATCCTAGTACTAGAAGCATTGAAATAATAGTTCTATATACTGTACATAATGAAATTTATCTCATAGCATGTGAAATAACACAAACTAGCGAAGTATACATATTTTCATATATATATGTGTGTGTGTATATATATTTCTTGTATGTATAAACATTATATTAAGTAATTCTACATAACAAACACATAATTTCCTCCATCTTATTTTCCATATTCATATTACTTGAGGCATCGTGTTATTTTGCTCCGCTTATTTGGTAGGTAGGTTCTGAGGCTCCATCTACCTCAAGGCCAAGCCGCCCTGAGTAAATGTCTTAAACTATGCAAGGTTCCTCCCACCAGAGCTGTGGGCAATTTGCTTTATCTAATTAATTATCAATCCCTTTCAATCTTGAGAAACTGTTGGAAGACGTTAGAAAATACAATCTATTTATGTACTTACTTAGGATCAAGTTATAAGATGAATTTTACTGACTATAAAGGATCAGAATCTATATTGAACTGATTATAACGATCAAAACCTAATTTGAACTGACTATAACGGATCAGAACCTATACTGAACTGATTATAACGGATCAGAACCTATACTGAACTGATTATAACAGACAAGAATCTATATTGAACTGATTATAACGATCAAAACCTAATTTGAACTGACTATAACGGATCAGAACCTATACTGAACTGATTATTACAGACAAGAACCTATACTGAACTGATTATAACGGATCAGAACCTATACTGAACTGATTATAACAGACAAGAATCTATATTGAACTGATTATAACGGATCAGAACCTATACTGAACTGATTATAACAGACAAGAATCTATATTGAACTGATTATAACGGATCAGAACCTATACTGAACTGATTACAACAGACAAGAACCTATATTGAACTGATTATAACGGATCAGAACCTATACTGAACTGATTATAACAGACAAGAATCTATATTGAACTGATTATAACGATCAAAACCTAATTTGAACTGGCTATAACGGATCAGAACCTATACTGAACTGATTATAACGGATCAGAACCTAGATTGAACTGATTATAACGATCAAAACCTAATATTAACTGGCTATAACGGATCAAAACCTATACTGAACTGATAAAGGATCAAAGCCAATAATGAACTGATTATAATGGATCAGAACCTATATTGAACTGAATAAAATTATAAGAACAAATACCAGATAAAAAAAAAATGTTAGCGCCACTTCTCTATTCATATATCCTTCACTTACACTTTTATTCTTTAATCCTCTTCGCCACTGATCTACACCAAATCAAGAGACATTTAACAATAGAGAGTAGGAAGAAAATATAAGACGCAGCTGATGTAGGAATAACGATAAAAGAACTTGGAAACTGTCAAGGTTCTTCTTAGTATCAGTGATTGTTATGTGATACGGAGAATCTCTGAGTCATCGTACGTCCGCCACTAAGGTGTCCATATCGTGCCAGATTCTGAATGAGACGAGAACAAAATTTCCTACTTACCTTTAAGCAACATAATTACACCCACTAAAGAAAAAAATATTACGATGATAGCTAAACAACATTATTTTATTATAAAAAAGATTAAACTGAAGGAAAAAATTTCCTTCAGGATGATATACAGTAGTTTTAGTTAGGTTAGATAGTCTGATTAGTTAGTAAAATTCACGTAGCCTAAAAAAAAAATATTAGTTTCGCGTTCGTGTTTTATTGTAACATTGGCTATTTGGGCGTCTATAAAACTCATCAAAATGTCATTCACTAATGTATAGCCGCTTAAAAAGACGGATACATCCTCCAAGAATATACATTACTCGCAACACCTAGAGTCCTAGAAGGTACGCATATATCGTCCACAAAAAAAAAACCCACACCTGGATGGCAGAGATACATGGTGCAAGTCCGTGTTCTGGGAAATATGACGTCATGGAGTTCCCGACGAGAGTACAGGTATTACGAAGAACCTTAAGTGGAGAAGATCAGAACCTATATACTACTGCATATAGAGGGTCAGGCTTATATAAACTGAATGTAGAGGATCAGAACCTATATACTATTTAATGTAAAGGATCAGAAACTATAACTTGATATGGAGAATCAGAACTTATCAAACAGGGAGGTACTACCGCCTGGGAAGATATTGGAAACACAATGCGTCGTCTAATGGTAGACCCTGATCACCCTGCTGCCATATGGCACCACAGCCGTGGCTGCGTAGGTCGCCGAGGTTGTAGAGTAGTCCAGTGCTGACAGGGCGAGACGAACTTCCGTAGGGAGCTTCTGAGCGTGTAGCTGACGCAGAACAGTGTTAGGAAGCCTGTCGGTGTGTTGGGAGTTCAGTCTCCGCAGCTCGTCCAAGAGACGTGCAGTCGTTGAGTTGCCCAAGGAGAGACCTGATAAGTCTTGCAGGAGACTGGGGCCAGGCCGCTGATATCGCCTCTTGAGAGCATCTCTAGAGCTGCTAATTTGTTGTCATCTGGAGGGTTGGCGATAACTTGATACTTTCCATGGCGACTTCTGTCAGCAAGGAACAGACCAGGGCGACGTACTTCTGTTTAGCTCGTCTGGGGCTGTTGAGCCGGTGAGAGCTGCATCCACATGTACTAGCCAGTCTTCAATGTTGCGATTGAAGATTGGAAGAGATATCCATTTCTCGTCCATCCTGTAAGTGCGTCACTCCGGGGTCACCACTTGTAGCGTAGTGTAGTCAAAATTCTCTTTCGTATGTGTAAATTTTCTCTTTCTTGGGCACACGTGTACAAAAAGGAGATCTCGCACTCAGGATAGAGGAGAGAAAGGAAACTCACAATAACGTTCTATTTACATATATTGTATGTACAGTGAAGTAAGATGCAGGGGAGTTGCTGTGTTAAGAACATAAGAAAATAAGGAGTCTGCAATAGGCCGGTTGGCCTGTGCATGGCAGCTCCTGTCGAGAGTTACTACCACTCTGTCATCCATGAACCTATCCAGCCTCCTTTTGAAACTTTCCAGCGTTCCAGCACTTACTACAAAGTTGCTAAGCTTGTTCCACTCGTCCACCACCCTATTTGTGAACCAGTTCCTTCCTATCTCCCTCCTAAACCTAAACTTATCCAACTTAAATCCGTTGTTCCGAGTCCTATCCTGCTCGGATATTATAAGAACTTTATCTATATCACCTTTATTGATTCCTTTCACCCACTTAAATACTTCTATCATATCTCCCCGCACTCTTCGTCTTTCTAGGGAATGCAAGTTTAGTTTCTTTAACCTATCTTGATAGGGAAGGTTTCTAAGTCCCGGAATCACTTTCGTCATTCTTCGCTGCACCGACTCTAGTGAATTGATATCCATTCTATAATAAGGGCACCAGAACTGAACCGCATAATCGAGGTGCGGCCTGACTAGCGCAAGATATAGTTGCAATAAGACCTCTGCACTCTTATTACTTACACTTCTAGATATAAAACCCAATACTCTGTTTGCCTTATTTCGAACATTAACGCACTGTTTTCTAGGCCGTAGGTCAGGGATTACAAGTCGGCTTGGGAGCGTGGAGTAGAACGACCTTCAGAGCGAGCGAGAACACCAAGATATGAGAGCTGAGGCTCTAAAGAGAACAAGAAGATGAAGGGCAAGGTAAGGTTAAGAAGTACAGAGGAACAATAATAGTAATTGGGCTTTCCACCTTGCGGAGTGCTGGTTTGTAGCTTAACCAGTAACCGACGTCCCGCAGTCCACCAGCGGCAAGAGAGGGTTAGGTAAGCTAAACTAAGCTAGAGTAAAGTGTGACCCCAGGGGAATTGATGTTTTAGGGTTTGGAGAAGAGGCATGGTGGGTATTTGTATGATTCTCCTTACTCAAGGTCCAGAGATGCAAGATGAAAGGCGCCACTGATTGGCTGAGGTGAGGGCAGTAACTGGCCAATCTGCGAGTGAATCGAGAGCAGAAACTGTGGTCAGGAACTCGCAACTGATTGCCTGAGAAGAGGACGGCAAGTGGTCAATTAGCGAACAGATCAGGAGCGGGGCCTGTGGTATAGAACTCGCTGCTGATTGGCTGAGGCGAAGACGGAAGATCAGTTGTAGGGGAGAGTGTCCACTACAGTACATTCCTAGGTGTACTGTTAACATATTAACCGAGGTGGGTCATCGCTTCGCTTGGCTGGTCACAGGTAAAATTGCACTATCTGGTATTTTGTGGGATTGCCATTGCTTAGCTAACCACTTCAACAATAACATTCCTTTATTCGTGGATTATTACATATATTTAAATTGATTATTGGTTATAAGAAATATATTTGTTTTACTGATCACCTAATTTCCAGTTTTGAATCTAAAAAAAAATAGGTAGTTGGAGGTTATATTACAGTAATTTGCAACGTAGAGTACTTCAATAGACGCTAGTTTCTTGTCTGGCTAGGTAAAGAGACAGTAGCGCCGATTACAGTGCACAAGGAAACATAATCTAACCAATACTAATCCAACATTTACATAGAACAAACAACCTATGAGCATTATAACACCGATTGCGATTTATAAACTAAAATATAAAAAATTCCCATTAACAATTAAATAAATATAATCATCACGGGATAATTTTAAGTGTTAGAAAAATTAAAAAAAAACAAAATTTATGTATCATGGATGTATTAATTTGCATATGACAGGTATGTGATAAAATGAACCGCATTGTTTACCTCAGTAGTGAGAGGGTCGGCTGGGTTGTGGCTGGTCACGACGAGACACCCCTTTGCTGTAGTCAATGAAAAACACTATTTATTGGGCCCTTAGACAAACTATTTATTTATAATGACGGAAGGCTCCACGCGTGGGTCTGCATCCATCCAAGAAGTATCACAGTTGGTGTGGGGACCAAACATCAGACCTGAGTTATTTGCTAGATGGTCACAAGGTGGGTTGACGGTTCTAACCTACACCCCCTCTACACAACCCTTAATAAACTTCAGTCTTTATATTCTCTCGTTTAATAATCAGTTTAGTTTACCAACTTTCTTTCTTAATGTTATTTTCTCAAAATCTGTGTCGATATGTGTGTTTTAAAGCTGATAAAGTTAAGCTGATGAGGTCATGTCTTCAAGCCTTTGTTGATCCCCTTATATAAGAAATAGCTGGTACGTGTTTTAAAGTTATGAAACCTAATGTTTCTGATATTTTGTGATGGTTATAGGTTAGTTAGGGTGAGGAAACTTGTAGTTACTTTATCATTGAAACTCTTATCTTTAACTTAAAAAAATTCCTGACTCATTATTTACCTCAGGTGATAAATCTTTTTGTTATCTGTTTGTATATTAACTATTGTAGTTTATGCCACACAACATGTAGTGTGACAGACTTCTTAGTTTGTGTAAATAATGATTTATTAAACCAATTAAGTCTATTGTTCAGGTCAATATCAACACACCAACAATGCCCAGTCATTTACTTCACTCTGAGAAAAACTTAATAATAAATAATTCCATAAATATTTCAATGTAAAACACAATCTGAAGAGACTGTAGTCAAATGGGTAATAGTTAACAACTTGTGCTATTATGAATTGGGCGAAATTTTTTTTACTGAGGAATTTTTTTCTTACCCTTTGCATGTCAATAAAAGTTGTGGAATTGCAAGTATTTTTTATGAGGAAATTTGGCACAATGTCGTCGCTGCCAAGTTTATAGTCAAACTGTTGATGTGCTGGCCAAGGAGAGATCCTAACACAAAAGAAACCTTCCCAGCCACCTTTCCATATGAACTGTTAATAACAAAATAACACCCTAACTAATTTACCTGACCTAACCTAAAACAATGCACTTCCATCCTGGGATAGCTATGTTCGATTAGGTTTGGTTGGTTGGTTGGTTTGTCTTATTAATAAATGGTAGATGATCACTGGCAAACCCTTCAGGTATGAAACGCTGTTCGGAACAAAATCACCAAATAAGTATTGGTTATATGAAAAGCACTGTAAAGCATTTCTGCCAGTTTTCTGCACGTATATAACGGAAGTGTTGATGTCTATTTAACATTTGTCTTTTAACACTGATATATATACAGGTGATAATGGTGGCACACTGTGGAGAGCAGTCCACTGAGGTCCGTGTTCATTTTGAAAAAGTCGGAAAAAACAAAAGTACAGGACGAAAATTACTTTAACTCTAAAGTTTAGTTGATATTCAAAAGCTAAGAAACAAGTTTTATTTTTTCTATAGAATTTTCCTCCTAAAGTGGCTCATCATAACACACTACTGCATTACCATCAAATTTTATTAGGTAATACTTAAGAATAAGGTTCTGGGTTACCCAACTACCTAATGAAAAATATCTATACTGGATAAAATTTTCTTTCCTCAAGAATAAAACAAATCAGGTGGAGGAATAGAACGTTTCCTTGATAATTTTCCCAAGTTTTTCTTGTAAACACCCGAACGAGGAGTGGTCTTAGCACTAATTTTAGAAAAAAATTTCTATAGAATAAAAAAGATTTCTTAACTCGTGAGATGGACAAAAATTGCACAAGGAATAAATTTTGCATATGAGTTTTTCTTTTCTCTTCGATCTGGAGGGAGGAGACACCGACTCCGTCAGCATTTTGGAATGTATCACTGTCTGCTGCTTCTGGCATGTTAACACCAACATAACATTCCGGAAGTACCAGTCTATAATTTATCATTTATAAAATGAAATAAACTAAACTGCCTACCTAAAGTACTATTTATCTTCTGTTTTAATATTTAAAATAAAATAAAAGTCCTTTCCATGAAAATAGATTCCTGTAGTATACATCTAATATTTTTTAATAAATTAATAAATTCATGCATTTAACTAAACTGAGTTATTACCAGACTTTTAAATGATGTGCTGAAGACACTGAGGGTAAAGGTGTAGAGAAGTGACAGTGTTGTTACAATTCCTAGAATTCTCTGATGGTATCTGACTAATAAGTTCATTTCACTGTACTGTATACGTATAAAGCAAATGTGGAAAAAGGAAGAAAACCAACATGAACATGAACGTAATGTTTAAAGTGTCTGTATGAAACATGTAGTGGATGTAAGCAAATATTTATCTAGTGTACCATACTGTACTTAGTTATCTCAAGTGATCATCTCACAGTCACCCCATAGCATGCCACATACATAATCCGGTCTTTTGTTAACTGACATCCCACATAGTAGAGACTGTTGACTGTGGCACTGTTTGTGTGTGTGGTATTATTCCATTTCGTCATCATGGTGAGTCAGTGCAAGTGGTGATGGTAAAAGGCCAAAACAGCAAAAGCAAACAAGTACTGTACTGCTGATAAAACTGAGGTGTCTTTTCAGGTTTTATCTTTAGTGAACATGAGAAAACGGCATTAATCCAAACAAGTGGAGGACCATGTGCTGTCATCGCCCCCGTGCAGGCCTTCCTCATCAAGAACCTTATTTCCAAGCACCAGTTTTCACAACTCAGGGAGGTAAGTTGGAGTCCCTTCTTAGATCATGGGAAGATAAAGTTCCCCAGCTTATTTTACCTGATGACTAAACACCCTCATGACACCTAGGAGGGGGGGGGGGGTTAAGGTAGACTAGGTTAGCTAATATTAGGGTACTGAATCATCAGGTGAAAAAAGCTGGGGTCTATTCTTCACATGATTCAAAGTTGGACTGATCAGTTTGACTAATGTGTGGTGGGCTAGTTCTAAATGCTCCTGGGAACAAACTTTCACCTGGGAAAAAATACAGTAACTTCTATTAATTTCATCACTCTGGATTAATATTTTGTTCTAATTTATATTATTTATGTCTCGTTACTTCGTGCTTATTTGGTTTCTCTTTGGGCTGACTAATTATACAACAATTTACTGCAAACCTTAATGTAAGTTCTTGGTTGTATTGTATCACGGTGTCTTACAGGATATTGATTCAGTCTATCGCTATGATCTAGGTTGACAGTAGAACAGTGGACCAGTACTTGGCCACGGCTCTGACGGAGATGTTGTGCCAGTGTAAACAGCCGCCTACTTTAGCCATGCACATGGGTGACAAGTCTAATTCTCCTACTCATGGCAGCGAGAGTAATGCTCCTCTCCAGAGAGATTACGGTGAGTACTGTGCCTTGAGATGCTGTTCTATGTTCTTATTGTCAAATTCTGAGTGACATTTTATATTTTATAATGACTTCTCTACCATAACTATGTTTCCCCTGCCCCCCCCCCTTACAGGTCCCTTTGAGGTAGCCTGTTTGGACGACCCCTTGCCACTGAATACTGACTGCACAGGCTCAAGTCCACAGGAGCCAGACCAGCCGCCACCTACACCAAGTGCCAAAGATTACAGTCTTTTTCATTCCAGTGTTAGGTGAGTCAGATAATCACAGACTTGGTAATTTTACAGCAACCTTGGTGAATAAGGTGATATTAGTGTTTGTTATTGCCCTGTGACTGGCCCAGATGACCTCCAATATTGGGAGGGAAAGAGATCACCTGAATATTCGGCCCCAGCTTAATTTTACCTCATGCTAACCTAACTTAATCCCCCCTATTTGTGAATAGTCAGGCCTGTAATTGCAAACAAAATACAGTATTGGGGAGATTATAGTCTTATCATAATAAAGTTAAATTAGAAATAACATCGATGCAAAATAAGGTAACTATCATCTACTTCTGTTTTCTATTTGACTTTCAGATTAAGGCAGTTTGAAAGTGCCCACTCATTGCAGAACCATTTAGAAACTCACCTGGATAAGTACAAAGCCAAGTATGGTGTTCTACTCTTCCTCTACTCTGTCATATTGACTAAGGTACAGTGTGTTGGTGCTTTACATGGCTTACCTGGTTGTCATTCTGAACTTCCTGCCAGCCAGATTGATCAATTTTGTTGCCGCCCGAGCTGTTTCAGACTGTTTCTTGAACGGGATATTCTGTAAAAGATAATAGGAAAACTTTTAATTTAGTTACTCATTTAATTTCTTGATCTCCATTCCCTCTCTGTCTCCCTCTCTTTGTGTCTGTCTCTCTATCTCTCCCTCTCTTTGTGTCTGTCTCTCTATCTCTCCCTCTCTTCCTTTATTTAATGAGTTACAGTGCTTAAGCCCTTTGATTGCCATCTCTTGAAGCCCTTAATGTGACCTCTACCTAAACAGTTGGTAGAAACCCATAATGTTACAGTGCCATTAGAATTACAGTTTGGAATAATCCGAATCATTTGGTATAATAAAACTTGTAAATGTTAACAGGGTGTGAAGACCGTGAGCGAGGAAATGGGAGACCTTGGCGAGAGCCTCATCGACGGCAGCCAAGGTCATGGGGGTCAGGGCCTTATTAACCTCCTCATCACTGGCCGAGCTTCGTCGTATGTGTGGGATGGACTCAAGGATGTCGGTGGCCTGAGTGAGTATTTTTACAAGTTGTGTTTCCACTTGATCAGGGAGAAAGTTATAATGAGAGAGAGATGTGTGATTAGTACAGTACAGAAGTATTACTTTTTTATTGTCAACCTGAAATATTGTGTATGCATACTGTACTAGTACAGGAAAGCCTCCCATAAAGACGGTTCTACTAACGACGATTCATATTTATGACCCTGGTTAATTTAGGACCCAATTCAATTTACACCATTATTTTTTTCATATTTACGACGAAAATATTATAACAAATTAAGTAAAATTACATTTTCATATAAATAATAACTAAATCCTGATATGTATAGTATTATACAAAAAACACGCTTTGTGCACGGAGGCTGCCGGGCTTGTGAGGGTGACGCCAGCATCGCTAGTATAAACAGTCGCAGCTGGCGGGCCTTTTGTTTTCATGCATCTGAACAGGAAAAGAAGAAAAAACATTCTCAGGTTTCTTACAGCATTATTTTGCGTCCCTATTCAACATGAGCAAGAGAGCAACATATGACAGTGCTGGTTCAAAAGCTAAAAGAAAGTGTATAAGCTTAGACGAGAAACTAGGTGTTAAAACGATATGAAAAAGATGAGAGGTCTGTGGATATTATATGGAGCAAGCAATGAACATGATATTATTTTCTGAAATGGATCCAACAGAATGAAGCATTAAAATTAGCAGGAACGTGAAAAATGCATATGACCTCTACATAAAGATGTATAATGAGAAAAGAAAGCGGCTGCGAAAGGTTCCTTCGACAACATTATTATTCAAAAGCCTGAACCACCAACTTTAGCTATACCATCAAATTCAGCATCATAAGCAGCTTCAGCAACTTCAGAGTTAATAACAGTTTCAGCAACAGCTATGATATCTTTATGGAAAGCTTCAGCTTCAGTGAGAGTTGAAGAAATCATCTGAGTAAAAACTCGCACAATATTCATTGGCTGTCCTTATGTTTTAGACTTTACCACCATTTGTTAGTAGAATTTTTGTTTTACATTAGTAAGTATTATTTAAAACATATATGAACAGTAATAAGTGTTGCTTTCATATTCTTATGTCCTAGAGAAATGTCGATGTTTTCACATACAGTATACTGTACTGTACTCACTTACATACGATGGCATTCCCAATCTATTTTGTTTTTTCTTTACCATTAATGGTTAGCTACTTCTATTGTTCCATTTATTAACATTAAATAACATTACTTAATACATACAGTACATATTCAATTTTTTTTTTCATTAATTTTACTAAAGCAACAACCAGGGTCTTATTTCTTCAGTTTCTTATGAAGAAATAGAACCATCGTCATTCGTCACGGGTGTTGTAAACATGAACGAAAATAATGCCGTCTCGTCTCCTCTTGTGCGATCTTACTATTATTGATTTATATTGTATAAGGTGAATTCATAAACAACATTTAAAGAATTATAGTTTGCATTTTTCATTAATTGTATTGTTTTGGGGAAAAGAGGGTAAAACGTCACACAAAAGTTATGGAAAGGTCACACTGGGGGACGCATCTCATTATTATTGCTTTATTTTAATGGTACATTAATTAATGATTCACCTTACACTGCAATACTGGAGGACACATTACCGTCGTTATTCGGGGCTTTACTGTACTTATGTGTGTGTCACTTAATTTATCAGACCTAAGCAGCCAGTGATGTGTCTCATTTGTGTGTTGTTTACTTTATGAATTGTTTTGTAGGTTTGATCGGCATCTTAAAACGACCGTCGGTGGGGTTCCTGACCCGCCTGGAACACCTACGGTACGTGCAGGTGGGCTGGTACCTCAAGAACCCCACCAATCCAGTCTGGGTTATTGCTTCAGAGACTCACCTCTCAGGTTTGTTCTTCATAACCAGTAATTTAAGGATGTGTTTTTATTTAATACACACAAGATGGCAGATGTTACCATACTGCCATTTAGAAGTTAACAGCAACATGACTAATTTCACAGTTGAATAATTTATGTGACTAACTTGATAACTGGGAAATATATTAAATCACGAAGAGTTTTGTTTTTGACAGATTAAGCTACATATTTAAAATGGGAATATTATGAAATCAATACCTAGAGCTACGAACCTTCCAAAACTGAGAAAAATGACATGTACGACTAAGCCAAGACATTATACAGTATACAGTACCGTACCCAAATATCAGTACTCAACAAGGATAAGATTTGAAGCCTTGGGGATTTTTGTCTTTCATATACTGTACGGCATGCCTTTTATTGTTAGTCAAGTCAACTAAAATAAATGGGAAATGTTTTTGTTCACTCTTTATGCAACAACAGTGACAGTCATTTGTTTCCCATAGCTTGACTCTTAAATGACAAATTTGTGATCCATTCCATAACCAGGTCACTTATCTTTAGGCCCCCTTATATTTTAATTAAGAGAGATACTGTTACTGTAACCTCCATTATTCTATTCCCATAAACAATTTTAGGTTTCCTTCACTTTAACCCGATAGTTCTGTTCGCGTGGTGCAAGAAGTTGGTCACCCCAGACTCGGAGGTTGAGCGAGCCAAGCAGGTCTTCAGCTGGTACGACACCGAGGGCAACCGTTTTATTCAAGGAGAAAAACTCAAGGAGGTGTTGGAGAAGCTTAATCTGTGCACTGATGATGACTTGTAAGTTACTCCAGTGTGGTGTGTTGGGTTAAAGTAGTATGGAGGTATTTAATGGTGTGGTGTGTTGGGTTAAAGCAGTATGGAGGTATCTATGCCATGGCCAATCGTTCTGTCATGACATAGAAACCTCCAGTGATATTTTCAAGAAGAAATAAGATGTGCCATTTGGAGCCATTACATAAGAGTACAAAAACACAATGTCCTTCTCTCACACAACTCAAGGTACTATAGTGTAGCTCCATCATGTAGCCAGGCAAGTTAGTGCTCATATAAATAATAACCACCTTATTTACTCTTGTTATATGAAAGGAAATTTCAATAATGTTTGTATATCCTGGTATGGTACACACACTCACAAAAGTATCTTTGAGAGGTGCAATAAATTTCAAAATGAACACTGCGGCTCCTGTTGCCTAGATCTAGTTATAAAAATCCTACGCATGTTGTCGTTTCGTCTAACACAGAATCGTAAAGATATTTTTTGGAGCGAGTGTAACAGAATGTGAAATTGCTCTTTGTGGGTTATCAAGCTATAGGAAGACTGCCCAGTACGGAGTAGACTGTGGCTAGCAAGTGATATAAGATTTATTTTATTTTGGGCTAGAATTTAGAAAACCTCCAAAGTAATAAAAATTAGACATATCCTTATGACACTTGTGCATTATAATTATGTTCTTTTGTTCCCAGCATCCAGTTCATGATGTTGGAGCTAGACCCAGACAACATGGGCGTCATCCTCTACCACAAATTCGTTGAAACCTTTTTCACTCCGGACCAATCGTATGCCCCGCCTGACACCTTTATTGTTTATCATTATAATGGGCTGGAATCCTCGTGCCCACTGAGTAAGGTAAGGATATGAAAACGTATCCTCATCAATGTTTTATGACCATTTTATGCACTTGCATGGGTTAACTGCGATTATATGCTGTGTCGTCTCTTGTCAGCCTGTTATGATGATGAGTAGAGTGCCAACTCTATTATAATAACTACTGTACAAACAGACTTAAAAGAAAAAAGAAAAATAAAGATCCTTTGTATAAACTGTCTGCTCTCTCTCTTTCTCTTCAGATTCAATATGCAGAAGGCTGCGTCACGCTACAGGAGAGTCATGTGGGCTTTTCTGCAAGTAATTCCGAGTTCCTAACCTGCCTTGCAACTAAATGGCCAAACCTCGACATACAATGGTCCAACTTCACGCCCTCACTCAACTAACAGCACTCATACTTCTTCATTCTCAGTATTCTTCTGCCATGTACCGAATCACAAATCCTTAATCAACGCTAGTAAATAACAGACAAGCGTAAAACAACATCCTCGACTTTGTTAAATATTATGAAAATACATGAGGTAGTTTGAGTTATCTGTCATGTAAATTTGGAGAAAAAAAAAAAACATTTGTTGAGTTGTAGTTTTTTTGGCAAGATTTTCCACAATAAAAGGAATTGTTCATTTACATTTGGGATTGATGTTGTAGTTTTACTTATGCTTAGAGGAATCAATAATTATTATATTTGTACATACATTCTCTCATTCCTGTGTTTGGTACCAGTGGATTGATCTCAAGTGAGGGTACCCGGACTACCCCTTATTGTACCGGTGAGTGAAATCATTTTACTTACCTATTAATGAAAACTTGGAGACTTTATTTCATGCAACCACACCAAGTAAAATAATTCTAACTTCACGTACAGTATGTACAGTTGTCTTATTCAGAATCTTGGTCTAGAATTTAGTAAACTAAATTCAGCCAATCTATGGATGGCTTTAAATGTGTGTGTATACATATATGTTTATGTACACATGCACGCACATCGTATACGCAGTATACTACTTAGTGTGGCTGTGGCAAATAATGTGATATTATATAAATGTGCCTACAATACTAAACAAATCTGAAAGCCATCGTCTGGACACTTAAAAACATATTTTGAACATTTTAGCTATTCAGTGATAGACAGTATTTGTTATGCACGTTTTTCTCTTCCCAGCAGTGCTGGATGTACGAGTATATGTTTTGAATACAATAGAACAAGACATTTCAAACGAGCCAAACTTGGTAATATGATTTATTATTATACAATACTGTACTGTACTTTGAAGATAATTTGTAATCTCAGGGTGTCAAGAATAAGTTAACTTGCTGTAACTTTTTATATATTTGCCATACTAAATGTGGAATGTCCACTTATGATCAAACTTGCAGCTGTGATGGAGATAGGGTTTATATATACATATATATCAGTGCTACGGTTAAGAAGGATACGAGATGACGGCAACCCTCGGGTGAGAAGGGTTAGCTTGGTCCTGGCCTTGATATGATGAGTGACTGACTCGGTGCACACCACAGCATAGAACACCCCACCAAACCTGCCTGGCTGTGGGATTGACCTCAAGCCTCCCAGATGGGAGTCCAGAATGCTACCAGCTAAGCTAAGGCACCCCAATAGCTTTTTCAAATGACGCTGCCATCCGTGTGATAGTCATAACTGCTTGCAACCTGTGAACCTGTTGCTTCCACATTGAACATTCAGTGTACTGCTATCCTCCTGTTACATATGGAAACCAAAGTGATTTTCTGGGAGTAAATCTTTAACAACTCTGTAGTTAATCTTCATCTAATTTGTCTGCCTCAATGTCTTCATCTACAAAATTAAAGAAATATACCTGGATTTGTGATTATCTTTTAGGTCACCTGTGTTAGATGTGTAAAATATTGTCTGATAAACATTGGTACATCAAAATATCTTGACAAATTTCTCTTTGACCTTTAACCCCTTCACTACAATTTTATTCAGCTCAGAGGGGGAACTCGCACACAAGGGGTTAATGTCGATCTAAGATGAGGTTAAAATTATAGTTGGTTGTGACAAAATGGAGTGACCAGTCTGATATAGTCAAAGACAACAGTCATGTCCTTGTTTTTTCCGATGATCACGTACAGTCACAGTAAAAAATTCTGTCGTCTCTCCTGACACTTCATGAACCCTGAGATTGAGACTTGTGAAACTGACGCAGTGAACAAATGCATTTCTTAGGTCACAAGCCTCAATCTCAAGGTTCATGAAGTGGCGAGAGCGACATGACTTTAAACTGTGAATGTACACCATGTTCAGTCATTACAACAACCCTCCAGCCTTTACTGTCTGTAGAGTTAATCTTGAATTGTGTGGGCTCTGAGTCCAGATGGTAACGTGAACCAAGAAGAGTTGTCAATTACTGGATCACTCACAGGATAAGATAAATGAGTGAGTAAGGCAGTCATGATTAGCCTTCATAGAGCTGGTTGATGCAGCTAAATTTGTACTGTAATAGGCATAAGAAAAAAAAATAATTATGAAGGGAAATGGTGACACATTAAGTTTATCTTCACATGAGTACAGAAACTCCTGTAGGACACACACAACCTTTCACCCACTAAAGTTGTCTCAGTATCTTGAGAAGTTCACAAGGTCCTACTTTTTGCTGGACTGTTACGTCTTCATGATAAGTTTATCTATTTTTGTGATCCATACATAACTCCTTCCTCACATTAACATTTCCTGAACCTTTTTCTACTTGTTTTACTGTCCTTGATGTGTAGGAGTGTAAAGATTAACACTATTTTTCTTTTAAGCTAAGGGTGGAAAGGTCATCCAAATTACCTTTCCTTGCCTTGTCTTCTTTACCACTGTCATCAACAATTTTCTCATCTCTCTTCTCACTCTACCTTCCTTCCCCCTTTCTCTCAAGAACTCTGTGCAAATTAGTAGCTTTACAGATTCCACGTACACAATCCCTCGTGTTTTTGGATTGCAGCCTAATAGATAAAAACAGGTGAGAGGTACAGTACAGTACAGTACAGTATCCCAATGCCTTCCTCAACCAGCAATAACGTACTTGAGAGGTTTGTGCTGTAACCAAATTAGCAACCTATGATTCATTTTACTGATTGCACCTGACAACAAAAATACTCGAGACTTCTAAAAATAAAACCTTCCCAGCTCTGATTTTGATAAAAGTCAGTTGGGTGGAAAAATGCTAACTGAGATGGATAAATCACGTGTAAATTATGGGGCATGCTCTGGAAGTAACCGCCCTCCTTATTTACTATAGACTACAGTATATCTATCTTGGTAATTAGTGAATGAAAAATTACTACCTGTATGTGTCAGTGGCCTATTGAAACCCTTTTGAAAAGAGCAGCAAGGACTCATCCAGCCACTTCAGATTGGGTAGGCTGTTGTTCTGGGATTTCTCACCAAATTATTTGATAAATCTCCCTATGTGCTACTACAGTACTAGTTTTGGTCCACACTATCATGCAGCATAAAGAGGTCACAGGCCTTTTAAATGTAGTGTTGGAGACGAACGTTAAAAATAAGTTACACAGTATTGCTGGATATGTTTCCCCATCTGGAGTACTGTCACCCCGTCTGGTCCCCGAGATATGCTAGAGACTGTCAGTTGGTTGAAAATGTTCAAAGGAGGGCCACCAGAATGGTGCCTGCACTTCGGCACCTCAGCTACCCTGAGAGATTGGAGCGCCTGAACTTGCCTAGCTTATACTACAGACGGGCAAGGGGCGACCTAATTGAGGTGTATAAGCATCTCAAGGGGCACTACTCAGTCGAGTGTCCTTACTTGGAGCTGGCGGACGCTCGCCCCACAAGGGGTCACAGCTCAAGATTGAAGAAGCCGCAAGTCCAGAAAACTGTGAGGACAAACTTTTTCTGAGTGAGGGTTGTGAACTCTTGGAACAATCTACCAGAAAGTGTTGTGACGGCACCGAGTGTGAGCTCTTTCAAGACCAGACTTGACCAGCACTGGAGCAGGTTCAGGTACATTCAGGAGCCGGTGCATGCCCAGTACTTGCCAACAGTGCGTAAACCGATCGCCCAAGCGGCTAATGAGCCGATCAGTGGTGAAGAGGATAAAAGTAAAGTAAAAGTAGAATCAGGAACATGAAGCAGAGCCCCCAGCTGACCAATAAGTTGACCCAGTCTACGGTGTCCATATTTCTGCCCCACTTAACCCCCACCACACCCAGCCCCGCACCCCCCAACTCACCTCTGGCACACACATCATCCTCTTCGAACATTTTAAGATTTATTATAATTTATTGGAATGATTAGTTAAGGAAATAAGGTGATGGCAAGACTGTTTACGGTGCGAAACAGAGAAAACGAACAAAAGACGAGGAGATGATGAGAAAACGGTAATAACAACACACTGAAATAACCAACCAAGGAGATAAGGAGACAGACATATAGCTAAAAGAGAAGATATAAATAATAGTAAAAACATTAACAGCAACAACCAAATATAAACATTATAAAGGCACGGATGTCCTCCCAAAAAATTATTTAATAAAAATTCCTTCCTCCACGTTTCTTTAAAAAAAAATAATTATATGTATTTCATTTTTCTTAGCAACAACAGTTAATTTTTTTTTACATTTTTTTATGTACACATCCAAAAATACGATAAATTGTCCTACATAATCATACATTTAGAGAACAAATTATACAACTTATGCCCATATTTAGTGTCAGGCGTTACTTAACCTCAACGGGTACACGTTCTGTGGTGGGTGATTCAAGGTAATAGTGATATAGTAATTAGTTACCTTATCTCTCACATATTAATGCACACAGATAAGACTCTCACTTAAAAATCAAGAGAATGAGATAATTCTTTATGGAGGAAAGCTGTCAGCATCCTAGTCACTAGTCACCAAACAAACACAGGGTCATATTTTCATTCCCGAAGAATCTTAAATTATTATTACCGTATATTTTAAGACGTGGGAATAAAGTCCTACTGAATGTTAGGTTCCAGTTTATAATTTAGGGCTCTTAAAAAAAATATCATGTTGTAAGTCATGAGGTATTTCCTTATTACATCGTCATTATATCCTTTACGTGTATTTGGGTTTAGTTAACGTCTCGTGGTGTTCTGGGAAGTGGAAGTGACTTAAAACAGGTTAGTGAATAATATGAGTAAACCCAAAAAAAAGTAGTTTATCTACGTCAAGATCCGCATTGTTGGCAAAGAACACTAATGATTGCTTAATATTTATTTTTATATGGTATGTTATGATGAAAGGTGGTTGTCTCTATGTCTTGCTTTTATATATTCAAGGGAGATGAAATACCAAGGAGGCTAGGAAGGAAACTTACTTTGTACTGGAGAGGGAGGAATGTTGAGGGTTATAGGGGACGTCACGTTATCATACACCGCCATGAACTGTATGTATGAGTGTGGCACGATAACTTCTCCCTTGTTATACGTCAATATAATCCTCACACTAATATCGAGATAAATATTCACCGATAAATTAACTTACTGTATAAATGTTAAAGGAAATATCTATGTAACTGGTATGTCAAGAACATGAGCGGTTATTTGAACTTATTTCACTTGGGATGAGTTACGTAATTTTGCATCGCGTCTAACATTAATGACCTCTACTTGTAATGAATCTTTGGTTATGTACTGTGTAAACATTTTCCATGGATATCAAAATACCTTAAAATACGTTTGGGGAAATTTAATGGGTTAAAAACAGAAAAATAAGCATTTATAAACGCGGTGGAATCCCTGCAGTGTGACGTCCTGGGGTGAGGTGGCGGCTGGCCAGGTAGGTGAGGATCCCACAGTCACTCAGTTACGTTCTGACTGTTGCACCGGGAGACTGTTACACCCGCGTCTAACTCCCATAGTGACTGGTGATTTAAACATTTGCATCACATCAAACATTACGTATCTAGTTATATTTGTGTTTCAACCTTAAAGAGAAAACTGTGGACTAAGTTAAGAGAAGTTTGAACCAGGTGAGTGTCGTGTCACCTTAATTATCATGTTGTAGATAACTGCCATGGAACGGATGTGTACATTAAATGCCCAGATAATATTACTTAACTGTTAACTGAAAATATCCAATTAATATAAAGTCTTAGTGTAATATAACCTCGTTTTCAGAGATAATAATTTACTCCTAATTAATTAAGCTAGAATATTGGAATCATGTTTAATTTACCTAATTTTAGTGTATCTTCTGTACAGATTTTTGTAGCTATAACCCTCGATTAATTATTAAACACATCAAATTAACGCAGTCTTCGTGGATATTTTTTCTTTTTATTTTGGAAATAAATTTTTTACACCTAATAAATAATCGGATCTAATTGCAGTCGAGTCTCAGTGTATTTTTTATGACATCTTATCCCACAGAAATTGACCCCAAGTTGGTAGTCAATGAACGTATCTAGTTAAGTCAGTCTCAGTGTAATTTTAATAACCATTTTGTGCACTAGATATGTTTCCTGAGTAATAAAGAAATTTATATAACTACGGTAGAATCTTAACGTTACTCTAATGTATTTGTTCTTTCTTCCCAAAGCGATTAGTGAGCGCATCTAATAGTCTCAAACTATAGTACAGTACATTGTATGAACATTGACCGCGCACACGATGTTTAGTTGGTCATAGTGCTTGTGTGGTGCAGTGAGACGCACGCAGGGTGACGTAAACAAAGAGATGTCATTAAGTTGAGATGGTTAGGTTAGGCTAATATGAGATGGTTAGGTTAGGCTAAGTTGAGATGGTTAGGTTAGGCTAAGTTGAGATGGTTAGGTTAAGCTAAGTTGAGATGGTTAGGTTAGGTCAAGGACCCTGTGTAAATACTTACAGCTGGTGGAAACATCAAGAAACTTGAGGTTTTCCCCTCGGGTGAGGTCACTCCAATAGTGTACAAATGTGTCATCAGAGCCGTCCCGGGGGGGGGGGGTGGAGTCATCAAATGAACATTTATTCAACTTAACCAAATGGATGGAAGTGTAAAGACGGTTGTGTTCAATGATTACTATAGGTACAGGTATGTTACATGACTTAAATAAAGAGAAGGAACACCAGTGATCGGTTCTAACACGTATTATAGCAGCTGAACACAACTCTGCTTTGGAGTGTTGGACATTTTCACGATATTGAGAAAGTCGAGTTGTTTTCAGAGCTTCGAGTACTCTGGGAACTCATTCCCATACAGGGGCGGATCCAGGGGGGTTCGAACCCCCCCATTTTATCAGAAAACTCCAATACATTTTCTTTAATGCGGTATTGTACTCAGGCGTTTTGGTACAGTAAAAATAATTACTACAGACGTCAGAAATTCTCCTAATATCAATTGTACATGGCCTCAAAATGCCCCAACCCCCCAGCTGGGTGTGCTCGCCATGTTCCCCCCCCTCCCCACCCACAACTTCTTGTACCCCCCTTTGATATTCCTGGATCCGCCCCTGCCATACAAACCAAAAATGCACTTCAGTCACAGTGGCATCAGTGGCTCCCCTCCCTCTTAAATATTGGTTGGGTTGGCTCATGACGGCTGCCGCATTTTTGGCTGACAAATTTATTCAGTACTCTGTTACCATAAGCCGGCCCTAAAAAAATGATAGCTGTAGCAAAGTCGTCAAAAGCCACCCTTAATTATCTTACCCGTGTGTCTCCTGTCCACCGCCACAAAGCTATATGTAATACGATGGCAGAGTTGTGTGAGTGACCGTAATAACCCCACACGCTACACCCCTCACCATGCTCCGCCCTACTCCAAAATCTATACACAAATTGCCTGACCAACCTACTGAGGGAAGACACAATATCACCCCGCTATACACGGAGACACTCGCATTTTATGTGAGTGTATATGTATTGTATATGCCTCTGTAAGCTGTAAATGTATATAATATAAATCTTACTCGTGTATATTAATCGTCAGAATATAAATTAGAGGCTCGCTTGTAGTTCTTCTTGTGAGAATTGGTTAAAAGTAAAGAATTGTGAGGTTGTAGGAATTAATTTTTAGATACAATGATTGATAATGGTGTCTCAATTGAGAGAGAGAGAGAGAGAGAGAGAGAGAGAGAGAGAGAGAGAGAGAGAGAGAGAGAGGCTAAAAGGATTCAAATGCCAAATGCGTCCTGACATCAAATTGAACCCGTGAACCCTTTGGTCTCAAGGGTTCACACATTAATTTCCGGAGCTGAGGTGGTATAACTGGTTCTGTTACTGGTGTTGTATTACTGAGAGCAACCACAGCGTCGCCTGGCACGCACGCACGCGCACACACACACTTATAGCCACGAATACAAATACAATATTGTGGACGTTTCAACGGTCTGTAAGCACCGTTAACGAAGCCACTAATACCAAGCAACATATAACTGTTTAAATAACTAGAATTAATATTCTCTAGGATTTTGAAAGAGAAGAGAGAGGGGAAGGGAGGGTAGTGAGGAACGGGGGAGACTGAATAAGACTTCTTTTGTAACCGCACCTCAACATGACCCCCCAAGCTGATTTAAAATGTTTTCATACGTATTATAAAAAAAAAGAGTGTATTTTGCATTTCCGCGGCCGTTGAAGAAGACTACGTATAGTGCCACCACACCACTATCAGGCGCCAACAGTGGAAGTCACGCAAACAATCGCGCAGATGGAATGTCACCACCTTTCGAGTATTTTGGTATAATTCTATACCTGTATATCATTTCGTTATATGTTTCCCTATTTATTGGTTCGGATTCGAGTTATATTTCGTCCGCTTTTATCTCTTAATTCCGGTTACGTTCAAATCTTAGGGCAATAATATTTTTACGCCGTGCTATTCTTTTGTTTTCGTTTAAGTTGACAAGTTAGGTGCAGTTTTATCTGATTATCTCTTCACTTAACCAGGAACATTCACCACACGAACATTTTTAGGAATCTAGGTCCAGATCTTCACCCGACTTGTATACAGAAGCCAACTCTGCTTGACACATTTTTACACTCTTCCCGCCAGAGGTACACTGAGGCATGACGTAGATAGCTAAGGAGATCAAGATATGACGTCGACACCATAATATATTTTTTTTTGTACATATTCAACACATTTAGCATCACTTTATACCTGAAGACTTTGTCCTTATTTTGAAGATGGAAAGTAATATACACCTCTTGGTCTGTATACAGGTGTTGATACATACATACAGAGAGATTTTGTAGATTCATTTCAATTCTATATTACGTTTTTCTTCATTTTTCTATAATTGCATTTTTTTAGTAACAATTCTTGGTAAATGATGACATATTGAGATATGTATGTCAAGATGGTGGTCAAGTGATAGCTCTGGTGAAAGGTGAGATGAGGTCAAGTGATAGCTCTGGTGAAGGTGAGATGAGGTCAAGTGATAGCTCTGGTGAAAGGTGAGATAAGGTCAAGTGATAGCTCTGGTGAAGGGTGAGATGAGGTCAAGTGATAGCTCTGGTGAAGGGTGAGATGAGGTCAAGTGATAGCTCTGGTGAAAGGTGAGATAAGGTCAAGTGATAGTTCTGGTGAGTCAAGTGATAGCTCTGGTGAAGGGTGAGATGAGGTCAAGTGATTGCTCTGGTGAAGGGTGAGATGAGGTCAAGTGATAGCTCTGGTGAAAGGTGAGATAAGGTCAAGTGATAGCTCTGGTGAAAGGCGAGATAAGGTCAAGTGATAGCTCTGGTGAAGGGGTGAGATGAGGTCAAGTGATAGCTCTGGTGAAGGATGAGATGGTGGTCAAGTGATAGCTCTGGTGAAGGGTGAGATGGTGGTCAAGTGATAGCTCTGGTGAAGGGTGAGGTGGTGGTCAAGTGATAGCTCTGGTGAAAGGTGAGATAAGGTCAAGTGATAGTTCTGGTGAAAGGTGAGATAAGGTCAAGTGATAGCTCTGGTGAAGGGTGAGATGAGGTCAAGTGATAGCTCTGGTGAAGGGTGAGATGAGGTCAAGTGATCGCTCTGGTGAAGGGTGGGATGAGGTCAAGTGATAGCTCTGGTGAAAGGTGAGATGAGGTCAAGTGATAGCTCTAGTGAGATGAGGTCTTGTGATAGCTGGTGAAGGTGGGATGAGGTCAAGTGATAGCTTTAGTGAGGTGAGGTCAAGTGATAGCTTTAGTGAGGTGAGGTCAAGTGATAGCTCTGGTGAAGGGTGGGATGAGGTCAAGTGATAGCTCTAACGAGATGAGGTTAAGTGATAGCTCTGGTGAAGAGTGAGATGAGGTCAAGTGATAGCTCTGGTGAAGGGTGGGATGAGGTCAAGTGATAGCTCTGGTGAAGGGTGGGATGAGGTCAAGTGATAGCTCTGGTGAAGGGTGGGATGAGGTCAAGTGATAGCTCTAGTGAGATGAGGTCAAGTTTCAGGTTTCAGACACTCACCACAAGAAAGTGATTTGGCTGCTTGCTTTCCCGTCTAATGACCGTCAGGGTACGTTGAGTCATCGTCCTCAAGGGGTTGTTATCATCCTCAAAGGGTTGTCATCGTAGTTAAGGAGTTAAGTCATAGTAGTCAAGGGATTAAGTCATAGTAGTCAAGGGGTTATTAAGTCGTCCTCAAGGGGTTAAGCCATCGTCCTCAAGGTGTTAAGTCATCGTCTTCAAGGGGTTGTTATCATCCTCAAGGGGTTAAGTCATGTGGTTAAGTCATGTGGTTGACAGTGTGGTAAAAGAGGTGTTGTAATTCAGATATAAATGACATTGACTGTAATAACTGTTTTAATCGAACGTGAATATATACTGTACCCGTTTATGTAATCACTGTTTCGTAATTATCTCGAATACAAAATATATACGAAGATAAATTGGAATATTCAACATAGATTATTCGGTAACTTAACATATCTCAATAATAATAATACAAATATAATAGTAAAAATAATAATAATACAAATAATAACTGATATTTTGAAATTTTGGGCTAGGGATAAGCACCAAAACCAACATGACAATATTTCCAGTCGGGTGTTCAGTATCAAGCGTTCCCAAGCGGTCCACCCA